AGATGGAATTGATTATCAAGATTTTGGATCTATTAAAGTAAGATTAAGAAATTTAATTAGGAAATTCTTATAATCTTTGCAGTTATAAAAAAACTTTAAAAGATCTTGCCTACTTTTTGTGATTATATGACTAAATAGATCTTTTATTTGGTTGAAAGTCTGCATTTCTAGTTGTTTTATGTTGAATAATATTATATTAATTGATTTTAAAGAACCATCTTTAAAAGATTTCTTAGATTGTCTTGATGATTTGTGAAAATATTTGGATATGATTATTAAAAAATAATAATAGTGAATAAAAAAGAAATGTAGTAGTGAATAAAGTAATAGAAAAATAGAGAAGTGATCTGTTATTTATATAACAGGTTACTATAACTATCATATTTTATCAGACTGTAAAAAAAATCTGCAATATATTTTATCTGTTCTTATCAATACTATATCAATATTATATCAATATTATAATGCTAGTCATTATCTATATAACTTTAATAAATTATTAATATTTGTTATATGAAGAAAAAACTTATTTATCGATGATAATAATATCTTTAAAATACAGAAAATCTTCCTAAATACATCACAAGAGGTCCAGGAGTTAGTCTTTGAAATGCATTTAAGAAGATCTCTATACTTGAAAATAAATCAAAGTTTATTCCTTTTAATTAATATATAAATTTACTTAATTTCTGATAAAAATCCATTATTTAATAGCTAAATATTATTATCAAATTTGCAAATAGTATTTTATAACTTTCAGTAGACTGATACAATATGTCAATACAATATATCATAAAAGAAAAACTATTTCTCAATCAACAGGTCATACCTTGCAAAGACTATAATCATCTTAGCCAATATAAAGACCAGAGCATGATGCAGATTTGTGAAATATATCAATTACAAGATCATCTCTTCTGATAATATTGATAAAACATAATGAAATGAAGATATTATCTCTAAATGTTGAAGAAGAAATGATATTATTTGTGAAAGTTGCTAAAAAAATAATATTATCTGTGAAAGTTATCAAAGAGATTTCAGAAAAAAGTTCTAAAGAATTACTGCTAGTAGATACAGATACTAGTTTTGATTCTAAAGATCTTCAAGATGCAACTTTGGATAATGTTTTGGAGACCATTGAAGGAAAAATTAAACTGGAATGCTTAGCACAATAGCCTAATAATATTTATTACAACTTCATAGAATTGGTAATAGAGAATAATATTTCAAACAAGATTAAGAATAAAATAATTAAATTCTTTAATAAGTATGATAATCTGAAAGAATCACCATTATCCAAATCTACAAAAAGTAGAAAAGATTATCTTAACCAAATAAAATTATCTTTGATCAACTTCAAAGAAAAGATTGTTGAAACTTTCTCTAATATCACTTTTACTCTCTATTATCATTTAATTTTTTGAGTCATCCAAATGCTTCTATAATGACCAGGAATAACAGATAATTTTAACCAATAGGATGTTTTAAAAAAGAAGAAGATGATAAGTTTTTAATTACTATAATATCATTAACAAAATTAATAAATCAGTAAATATTAAGTAATTACCAGGAAGATAAAGTTGAAATAAGAATATTTGGAGAATAGTATAAATATGATTGATAACACAAGACTAAAAAGATACTTTCTCCATTATATCATCTATTATCAATTATTTTATATTTGAATGTCATTACCTTCAATAATTTTGACAAGACATCAGGACATCCTGTATTTTTAACACTTGGCAACTTTCCAAATTGACTTTGAAATAAATCAGAAGCTAAAGTTCTTTTGGATTTTTTGCCCAAAATTCAAGACTTAATGATAAAAATTACTAAAGATTTTTAAAACTTGTAATGCAAAGTATATCACAAGTTCTTTAAAATTATATTTGGTTCTCTAGCAAAAAAATCCAACAAATTATATTTTGAAGTACAGAGATGATCAGTAATTTTTGCAGTATATATTTCAGTCTTTCTCATGAATATGCTTGAAGCTGATAATGTAATCGCAATATATAAATCAGCAAGATGCAAAATACTATGTTATATCTGTATGATTCTGCAGAATAATCTCAATAATATGAATCTTACATCAAAGGATATGAATCTTAGAACACCAAAAAATATGTAACAGATTATAAATAAAGATTGAGGCAAGGATTTTTCTATATATAATATTAAAAATACATTCTGAAAGTTCTCATGCAATTATTTTTAAATAATTTTGAGTTATAATTAAATTAAAATTATTAAATTATTATAGAAACTTAAATATTTATGAAGCTTACGCATCTGATTATATATATCATATTGATCTTGATCTTTTCAAATACTAATTAAACTTCACTCAAGATATTTTAAAGGAAGTTGAAGAAACAGAATTACTAAATAACTTTGATAGCTGCCTTCATCAAATTCCTTGCTTTCCTGGGTTAAAGCTATTTAATAAATTAGGTCAAATAAAAGTGATGATAGCTGCAGACTATCAATATATCATGAAAATCACTCTTTTCACATTAGATAATATCTTTGACATATAAAATGATATAACCTATAATGAACTTTGTATACTTTATGCAAAGTTCAATAGAATATATATGATGAGTAGATGAGAGTTATTTACTAAAAATGATTTAAAAGAATTTGAAATAAAATAAAGTAAAATCAATTAAACTTTGAAGAACTAATAATAGACTTTGAAAATGGATACAGATTCTCATTATCAACTGGTCAACTGAATTTAAGAGAATCTTCTCATCACTATTCACTACAGAATGTAGTTTTTCTAAACTGCATAGTTGGTGTTATCACATGATTTAACAATTCATAAATATAGTATCTTGAATAATCTCTTGATAAAAATATATAAAATATTTCACAAATTATATATGAAAAATCTGTATCAGTTATCAAATAGAAAAAATATCATGTAGCAGATAGTAAATATAGTAAGTCAAGTATGTCAATTATGATTAATTTATTATAAATTCTAAATTATACTTACAGATGAAGTATAAAGAATTAACTCTAATGACAAGTAAGATAGTTTATCATAAAACTATAGGATTTAGCAAGATATTATGAAAATTATCTTTGAATACTATTGAAGTAAAAGTAGTTTCATTAAAGAATTTGGAGAGTTTATTATATCCAAACTTTATTGAAAGATTATTATATATAATTACTATATTAGATACATTTCTTGATACATCATCACAAGAGTCTGAAAGTGAAGACTTTTGTATAAAAGTTTATGATGTGATTTATTTAGAAAGTAGCAAAATTCTGAGAATATCTAGAAATTTTCATGACAAAGAGTAATTCAGTAATATTGCAATAACTTCAGCTGAAGATCAAAGCTATTATAGATCAGATAAAGATGCTTGATATGGAAAGATAAATACAACTTGAAGAATAGTAAAATATAATTTCAAATTTAGCAATTTTGAATGAATTAACCTTCACATTTCCTTTCAAAAGATATTACTCTTTCTATAGTTTTTTCAAGAATCAGTAAAGAACTCATATAACCTTGCTATGATTTGTTGATATAATATTGTGTCAAATAAACTAGAAAAGTATAATTGCCTTCATCTATACTATACCAAAGAGTATAATATAATTCCAATAGAATCTATAAAATAAGAGGTATATATTATGTCAAGATTTGACAAAAAAAAATCTTTTTTGTTAAATAAATATATGTTTTGAAAAACTAATGGACAAAGAATTTTAAAGTCAAATTTATATCTGTAATAAACTTCAAAGAAAAAAAATAAATGATAATGCATATAATTGATCTTTTATCATTTATTTATTTAATTTCTGTTCAAAGAACTGTAACAATCTGTAATTATGCTAATTATTACAGTTTCTTCAGGTTACACTTCTCCAAAATTTCTATTTTCAGAGTTCTGTGCAAATTTTGGATCAGTATAATCAAAAAATCAGTAATAATTAGCATATTTATTGATCATTACTGATCTGATATCTATCAAATTTACCAATATTAATACTTCAAATTATAGGTGAAATAGAGATATAGAAAATATAATACCAGTACCATTCATCAAGGAGATTTCATTGATACTAAATAGAAGACATCATGAATCTCTTACTGATCAAAGAGATCGATCTGCATCTTTAACCTGAAAAACTTCTAGCAAAAGAGATAAAATTACCAATCAAGATAATACAAATAATATAAATAACACAGGTAGAAATTTAAATAATATGACATACTCATCTTCATCTGAGTTGGCAAATATGATCTCAAACCTTAAGATAACTACATCATGAAATAATAGTGATCATAGTATGCCTGATGTTGAAGATAGTCAGCCATCTCAAGTAAAACCTATAAATAAGAAGAGAAATTTGTGAAGCAGGATGTTAATACATCTGAAAAAGTAATAAAATTTATTGCAGAGCAGGCCATAGGCGATTCTCCGAATCATGATTCTTCAAATGTTTGGTTATATATTTTTTTGTTAATGATATGCCTGGAAATTGATTGCGTAATACAGATAATCGATCACAGAAGAAAATCGAACTTCTCCATGCATAATCGTGTGACCTAGCTGATTGCATTCACCCGGAAAATTTTCTGCCGAAAAGTAACGTAGTACATGGCATTGTGAAACCGAATACATATATAACTCAAAATGTCTATTACTTTGGTCTGCTTGGTTAAAGGAAACTTACCCGCGAATGCGTTCGCTGTTGATATTGATAGTGGCAAGTTAGTAAGCCACCTCAAAAAAGTTATACGAGAGGAGATAGATGTTTCTGACGTTGTCAAAGCCAAAGACATCAAGTTATGGAAGGTGGAAATTCCTGACGATCGCGATTCCGAGTTGGCCAACCCCGCATTGCAAGACGAACTCCTTGCAACCCGAGATGTAGAGGATTACTGGTCCGAGAAGCCACCCAAGAGACATATCCATGTCATAGTCGAATCGCCAGAGTCCACCACCACGTCGAGCCGTGAACAGGAATTACTTGAACAACTCGCCTTGTTGCGAGCACAGCTCAATAAGTCTGTTCGTGGTACATATCTGTATAAAATATCTTGGCAAAAAAAACCGTTCCCTCAGGGAACGATCAGATTATATTCTGAAAAAAAGATTTTTTACTAATCAGTTGTTGTGTTGTAGAGTTCGATGTTATCGTAAGTCCGAAATGGGTGAGGTCATTCAAGTGGACGGTGAATATCGAGCATGCAACCCTTGAAGCTTTCAAAGATTCCATACGTGCAGTATACCAAACACCGGCTCTTGAAAATGATGGTGCTGTGTTCAACGTTGTGTGTGACAGCGGAAAATACTCACCTCGAAACGACCAAGCATTGCGTGAAATGCTCCAGTTGCTGGTATCAAAGAATAACCTTAAGTTTACCGTCTTCATAGAGACTCCCTCAAAAGCGTTCTCAGATTGGACTCTTGGTTCAGTGTGTCAGCTTTTCAGTCTTAGCGCCGAAACAGAAGATCCGACATTAGCAGTGTTCCCACCTTTTTCGTATGGTAGTATCGAACCATCGCAAGAAGTGTTTAAAAACCTCATGCTAGAGTTAAATTCACGACTCAACATCACTCCAATAAATCTGATATCAATCGAAGCCACGAAATCTATATACGTCTATTCATACCTGCTTGCTGGAGCGAATAATTTCAAAGGTGTATTCGAGGTCCGCCCTCAAAAAAATCTTTCTGGTCCGAATGGACATGGTCCTGTTGATTTCGCAATCGACTTGCGTCGAACGGCAAAAACTGTGGGAGTCACTGAGGTTAAGAAGGATAATTTCGTCAAGGGAGTTGCCCAATGTGCGGTCCAGCTCGAGTCATCCTTGTCGAATCGTAAACGCAAGGTTAATGAGTTAGAAGAGAATCCGACAGTTGGAAAAGTTTTTGGGATAGTTACCGACGCCGAGAAATTTTATTTCATGGAATGCTCGCTAGATGAACAGGAACGACCCGCATTCAAGTTATCGAAACCAGTGATCGTTGCGTATGATGATGTTGACATGGAAGACAAGGTAAAGAAAGTTCTTTCTCATATTATCTGGTTGTTGGAGGAAGTGCAGAAACCGGCGGAAGTTTCACAAGGTGGAGAGCAATCGAGGGCATTAAAAAAGCCTAGGTCATCAAGTAATCTCACAGAAGAGACGGGTTGATGATCGTGTATATTAGTGCCCATAGAAACTTCGTCATGTATCCCGGGATACGTCCCTTTATTTTAATAAAAAATTTTTTCTGATCGTTTCCCTGGGAAACGTTGATCTTCTGATTTCGTATGAATAAAATGGTTCTCAAAATCGTGTTCTTATAGAGGGGTACGACTGATTAATTTTTGTGGCTTGGGTCGCGTTGCACAGCCGGATAAATCGACGCGATATTTTTTTCGTCACAAATTTAAATAAATCTGCAAATATATAAAACACATAATATCAAACATGTCTTCCGAACTAGATTTACTCAGACAAGAGAATGCTAAGCTTGTGGTCGAGAATGCTGAGCTTAAGCACGAAAACTCAAAACTGAAACAGATTATAGAAGAAAATGCTGAGTTTAAAATCAAAATTTAGTAACTTAGTAATGGCGCACGTTTGCGAGCAATCACATGATTTTTTCCTCACCAGTCTTAACTCTCATTGGACGACGTGTCGGTGACGCAAAATCATGCTTATCTCAACCAAATATGGGGGTTAGCTAAAGCCTGGTAGACATGTGATTTTGTCATGTGATATTTGTGGCTGAAATCACTTTGGAAGAGATTTGGCAATGCAGTCGGAAAATTGATTTTCTGATTGCATGATACATATATCAAAATAATCTTGACTTGTTAGCTGTTGCTTGCTTGCTTGCTGTTAGTGCTTTACATTTATTTAGGAAGAACTCTGAAAAGATTTTGATTATAAACTCAGACTATGTTATTTATTTGTAATTTTGTTTTTGCTAGCATGAACAAAAAAAAACTATTTACTGACAAAAAATTTCTCTTCTCATTTCATATTACTTTTTACTTGCTAATGTATTTTTCCTTTTTACTCATTATGTACTTTTCAACTACTCACTGCACTATGACAAAATTCTTTTTTGTATCTTATTTAAAATATGTAATAATATACTAAAAAAATATATTCTTTTCAAGAACTAAAAAACATGACATAAAAATGAATTCTCTTATATCATTTGATCAAAAATACTCTCTTCTCTCTAATATCAATTAGCCATTTGAAATTCTAATGTATGAATTTGGTGATGAATAGTGACCTCTAGTCTCAAATATATGGATCAGATTTAATTATGGAATCCTCATTAATGGTAACTTATAAAAAATCTTTACATGTTACTTTATTAAATACAACTAATCAAGTATATGGAAAGAAGAGATTTCTAGTAAAAAATATAGAAAAATGAAAATTTGGCTAGCAGATCTGTGTTCTGCAAAGATTAAAGTATCTTGATTTGTTACTAAAAAAAAGTGTAAGTTAAATGATATAATAACTTATCTGATCATTCACATTCATTAGAGGAGAGTGAAAAACTGAAATGATCAGAAACTGTTTGAATTTTAATTGAAAATGAAATGATTAAAAACTACTCATTATCATTTATCATTAGTGCTATTAGAGAATATGCATCAGAAAAATTAGATCTCAGTTCAAGTATAAAAGAGCTAAGACTAAAGGAAATTGTAAATATAAAATACAAAATTCATCAATTTCATAATTTATATCTTCTGGATAATATTAATCTCAAGCTTGAAATCAATGAAGTGATTTTTTTTCTAAAAAAAAAGAATATCAAGTTGAATGTTATCAAACTTCTTAGCAATCTCAAGATTTCATTTTTGTACATTCCAACTAACTAAAAAAACTTTAGTATCATGATTGGTTGATACTGATTAATTTCATACATAAAATAAATAAATATGATTGGTATTTATTTATTTTATATATTCATAATGGGTATGAGTGTTGAAATGTGAGCATCCACTTTTTTGTTAGTAATGAAGATAGTAATATAATAGTAGAAGCTCTAAAAATAATTCAATAATTTATATACTTTTGAAAGTCTCAATACTTTCTTGCCAATCAGAGTAATATGAAAGTCACAGAATTATGATAGTTTTTTCTTTAGAATATGATATTTTCTTCTGTATTGTATATATCATGAGAACTTGAATAAAAAAAATTTATCATATAAAAACTCATGATAAAATAATACAAGCAATACACAAAATAATAAAAATCAGTTGTGAGAAGCTTGTTCAATAAGTAATCAATAATTGTCTGATTTCTATTATTTAGCAATATATCACAAGATATTATGTGCATAATACAAATTAGTGAGCTCTTTGGATCTATCAAAATTCTCCTCTTCTTTTACAAGTAACTACTATAAATTTATTAGAATCATATCATAGCAAATTAAAATGAAATATATCTCTTCTACATGATTTAGTTAGTAAGTATAAGTTTCTTCTTAATATAATTATTTACTTTTTTTTATTCATTATGAGATTGCATCACTAGTTTAATCTTTATTTATTATGTGATTGTGCTAGTTTTCTTTTATTACATGATTGTATTACTAGTTTTCTTTGAAAGAACTAATTTATCTTTCTATTAGATGCATACCATAATGTTGTTTTACTTAATATGAAGAAGCATTCAGATTTGAAGTATGTAGCTTTTGGATTCTATATTAAGAAGATCTTGGTCATTGATATCAATTATGAGATTCTTGATGAAGTTCATAAATTTCTCTTTCTTATCTTGTAAATAATCATTAACAAAGCTTGTGTCATTAAAAAAAGAATACAAAAAGGAAAAGTGATATCAGAATTATTATCATCTCATTATCATTATCTCTTCTTCTGTCAATATCAATTATCCTGCCAACATATTTTTCATGAGCATATATATAGTGCTAGAAAACTATTAACTACTAGTACTTTCAATAAATATTCAAAGAATATAGATTTGAGATGTATAAAAATTAGAAGCCAGTAAAAATTGTAACATATGAGAAAACTAAAGCTGAGAGAGCAGTCAAAAGTCAATAACAGATTATAAATGAGTTGATAAAAAGAATATGTGACCTATATTGGAGAGTTGAAGAGAGAGGAGATACTAAACAAATAGTTATATTTATTGAAAAATTAAGAGTTAGTTTAAAATCCATTTTAAATTAATATTATTTAAGTTTAATTTTATTAATTTTATATAAATGATTATTTATCATAATATTAATTAAGTACTAAATTCATTATATTATTATAGTAGGAATCATATTATTAATTGAGTACTAAATTCATTATATTATTTCAGTAAAAATCATGCTGTTCAAGATTCCCATATTTAATTAATTGAATTCTTAATTGTGAGATTAGATAATAAATTTTTTCATTAAATAATATATATAATCCAAATATATAATCAGGCAAGTTATTATATCATTCAACTCATACTTTTTTTTAGCAACAAATCAGGATATTTTAATCTTTGCAGAACACAAATCTGCTAGCTGAATTTTTATTTTCATATATTTTTTGCTAGGAATCCCTTCTTTCTATATACTATTACCATTATTTTATTAAAATTCATAATTTTAAATTTCATGAAGGGAATCATTTAATTGCAAAATATTTCACAATATTATATAATTTCCAGCTTCCTATTTTTCAGCATCCTTTAGTATTATATTTATAACTATGTTTATACCTCTTTTTTATAGCATTCTTCAGCATATGAGATCATGTTATGTCTCTTAGTTTTTTGCATTTTCTAGTATACATTATCAATATTATAGATCATAATAGTTTCTCTCTTATTTTTCTGCATTTTCTAATATACATTATTAATAATATATATATATATATCATAATAATTTTCACTATTCTTCCAGCATTTTTCAGCACAATTATTCACATTCTTTAATATAATAGACCACATCACTCTTTCTTTAGCTATTCTTTATTGCTACTCACCTATTAATATAATAAAGAAATTATATAGAATTAGAATAGTATCACTTTTAATATAGCAAAAGATAACAAAAATATATAAAGTGAATAGCTCTTAGACCTTTAAAAAAAAGAATAGAAATAAAATTGTATATAAAATCTTTTCTCCAAGAAAAATACTTGTAAAAATCTTGCAAAATCATAATTCTAATATGTTAGTTAGACTCTTTCCACCAGAAAAGATGATGATTTGGATTAGATTCTTTAATTCAGAAAAGATAAAATGTATTATTGATTGAATAATTTGATTAATCCAAGTTTAAGACTTTTAGCTAGAAAAAATACAAGAATAAAAAGAATAGATTAGTTAATAATTAATATATGAAATCTTCTTTACTCTGCCTTATAATTATCTTTGAAAATGTTTATATTGAATAATATCTGTAAATATCATTATAGAACTTAGACTAACTGATAAAATTAGTCTAATCACCCTCTCTTATTTACCATCATAGTTCATACCAGCAAAAATAAAATTACAAATAAATAATATAGTCTGAGTTTATAATCAAAATCTTTTCAAAGTTCTTTCTAAACAAATGTAAAGTACTAATAGCAAGCAAGCAAGTAATAGTTAACAAGTCAAGATTATTTTGATATACATATCATGCAGTCAGAAAATTGATTTTCTAACTGTACTGCCAAATCTCTTCTGAAGTAATTTCAGCTATAAATATAATATAACAAAATCACATATTTATCAGACTTTAACTAATCATCTAAATATATTTATTTTCCTAATTTCCAGAATAATTTTGTGATATATGACTTTATTTCAAATAGTATAAGGGTCTATACTATCTTTAATAAACTATACTATTCTTGTAACTAACATTATACTTTATTTATATCCAGATATAATGAGCAATTTGATTTGTATAATAACTTTATCTGCTATTTGAGATAAGTCTGTCATCCTATTATAAATATTAAGTCAAACTTTATTAGAGTATTCTTTATCTATATATTTAACATTTATCCTTATAATTAGCTCTTATTTTGTATTAAAGATCAAATTTTATTGCTATATTCTTTGCTCTTTATTATGAAAATAGAAAAAAAATAATTAAAAATAAATAAAAAGCATTAGAGTGGTATTTGAAATCAGTAATTTATTCTTGTAATTAGTTCTTGTCTTATATCAAAGATGAATTTTATTGCTATGTTCTTTGCTCTTTATTATAAAAATGAAAAAAAAATAATCAAAGATAAACAAAAAGCATTAAAGTAATATTTGAAATTAGCAGAGTCTGGAAATTTTATAGCACAAAATAGTCTTGTATTGCTAGTTTATTTGTTAGACTATTATAAAAAGAACTGAATTAATTTTTATCATCTGAAATCTGTAATGAAAATCAAGAAAATTGAATTCTTAATATTAGTTACTGTCTATCACAATCTTCAGTCATAAACTTATCTTACTTATTTAATAATAAAATAACATCTTCAAATTAAACTATTGATATCATCCATGTTATTCAATACAAATTATATTCCCATTACTTAAAGTATAAGATACTTAATAAATTTGTTTGATTTTATAGAGATAATGAA